GAATTTAATGCTTGCAATAACGCTTGCCAAAATTAATATTGTCAGTCCGAATATTTTAGATCACGAAGACTTAAAATTAGTTTGGCTTGAAGAACCCATCAACACTCCCATAATAGATCTTTTGTCTGTTTCGTCAGTGAAGATTGTGCAGTCCGTGAACGTTTTACACTTCATCATAAAATTTCCTAAAATAAAATTAGCATGTAAAAAGATAACCATTTTTCAAGTCGCCCATAGTGAGACAATGCTGCAGATACTAGACAACATTATAGCGGAATGCGGCGGAGAAATTCACGTCATTAAAAACTGCTCCGTGTCACCGGTAGCCACATTCTGCCGTTTGGCGTCAGAGAGTTCATGCGCCAAAGAACTGCTTGCAGGTGGGGTGGCGAACCCAATCATATACGTGGATGAAGGGACCATAATCATCAACGACAGGTCAGCCAAGGTTCGGTTGAATAAATGGCACACACCTCATCACCTTCGACAAACAGGTCATGATAAATGGCCTTCACCGCTTGAGTGAACGAAACTTGGAGTTTATCAAGGAGCTCAGAAACGAGATCGACAACAACCAAACACATCTCGCAGCAATTATTGTAGGAGCAATATGCTGCGCGCTCATCTGCATTGACCTCACTTACCAGCGACTTAGTAAAGCAAAAAGATCCGCAATCCAAATAAGAGAAGTATTTGCAGATTTAGGTTCGGTTGAGGGCGGCCTTAACTTTGAAGGGGGAGCAGTTAACTGTGGCCAGTCAAACCAATGTCGTTGACCACAGTTTACGTAGACAACATCGCTCCGGCCAAATTGCTGACCATGCAATAAGCCGGATGCTCGTGCGCAGACTGCAAACATAGCATATTTGCGTGGCCGCTGCAAGTCTCTGTTAGCTTTAAGTCAATCCCTTAGTCTAGCTCTGATTTATATTCAATAAAGAGCGCATCCCTCATTAGACAAACTCCGGCAACCGTTGCTAATCAATTTATCATTTGAACACTGACTGAGTCTCTAGGCTAGCAGTGAACGGAGGGCAGTTACCCTTCCAGCGTAATCGTCATAACGCTTCAGTGGACGAAAGCTGACCATCGGCCAACCGGCCACCTACCTACGAGAGCTATGCGGAATCACCTTCCCCGTATCGACCTAAATCTGCCAACCAGCCGCATACTTACAAGGGTTACACAGAACCACCATCGTGCAAATATAAATCAACCAAACCGGCGATCAACCACGGAACTACAGCGAGGGACAAACTACTGTAACCTTATTAAAACTAATTTGTATTTTGAATAAGTTAGTTCGTTCCTAGAACAACTTTGAACTCGAGACGAGCTATTCTCTGGTCTAAAACAAAAATTTTATACTCTATTTTAGAAAAACTCGGCTGGTAGGATAAAAGCAAATATTATTATGAAGAACTCGATGCATGCATACCATCTCTAACGGAGGTAACACACCAAACTCTGTAGTCCCTAGCACCCGGGAATTTCTGGAATGGGAAGAGGTGTTAGACCTCATATTATATAGGGTCAAATAAAACGAAATCCATTATTTATACATGAAATTCAATGCTTTTTTATGGTTAGAATTAACCTATTTATTTCAAATAAGTACAATTTATTTCTACAATCGATTATCAATTTAATAATAATTTCATGATACCCATCTCATAAAATCAGCCGTCCTTATTTATAAAATCTAAGACAGTCTGGTTTCACAATCCTCTCTTGTAGCTAAGTTTACACTATCCAAATCATTCGACATTGAAAGGATATGGTGGTAGTCACTTGGTGCGATGTCCGGGCTAAAAGGTGAATGCAAAAAACCTCCCGTCCAAGCTCTCGGAGCTTCTGGCGAGTCGCTATTGATGTGTGCGGTCTAGCGTTGTCCTGATAGAAAACAATTCCTTTCCTATTGGCCAAGGCGGGGCGCTTCTGGGCATTTGCTTCCATCAAACGGTCCAATTGTTGACAGTACAAAACAGAGTTGTGGTTGGCAGCTACAGTATTAGGGCGTTATCGCCTTTGTCAAAGAAAAATTGTAGAATATAGCTAATTTTTTGTTGCCGGTCTCGATATTTAATGAGCTTTCAGAGCGTTTGTATTATCGCTCACAAAACTTTTCTAGTATAGGTATGACACTACATTGTTTACCTCATTCATTGACGGATTCATTGAAGCTCAGAGACAGAAACAGCTATATGAATACTGCTTGAGATATTTTTTTGGTAATAAGTTCACGGTCACACTGCCTTTTTAACGTTAAATTCAAACTTTATTGTTTTGTTTATTATATTGTGTTTGTTCCGCTAATTTTAACGTTTGAAGGTTTTCAGTTGTTACCTTTAAATGGTAAAAAAATATTTTGTATACATTTAAGTCTCGCTATTTTATTATGTTTTGTCGTCAACTCCAATGAATGAGCAAAATTGTAGTTTTTAAATACAATTTTGCTCATTGATGTATTGATTGGAATCAATCATGACGATTGATCATTGGAATCGTCATAGGTTGTCTTGCTCGCACTTACGTAAAGTCGTAAGTTAAAGCAAAAAATGAGCAATGAATGGGGACAACAGTATAGTGTCATAAGCCTATAAGAAGCTTGTATAGTATGAAAGCTCAACATTCTAAGGGCACCAACTAAAATTAAATCGGACTTAAACAACACGAGATACAGATTACTTAAGTCATCTTTTGTTTAAATATTTATGTATCCAGAAATACGATGTTATTCATTTCATTAAAAGTTAGTAGTCAAAGTTCGAGTCAACACCAACTAAGACTCCCCCTTCTCGTCTAAAAAGGACGATTAAGCCTTTAAATTGTGTACTTACCCGGAAAAGCTCCGGAGCTGAGAATCTCCGGTTTTAACAAGGTTTTCGTGAACAAACTAACATAAGATAAAAATAAAAAGCTTTTAAAGTACTATTTAGCCAGCTTACTAAGTAAGCCTCTTGTACTTTGATAGAAAAGTATAAATGAGGAGGAAAGTTTTTTGGAATATAAGAGCAATTAGAAGGCGCTGGAGATTAAAGGAATTTCCCATTTCCTTTAAACTGTTTTTTTTTTCTAAGCTTCGTACTCATTCAAAAATATGCCCTCAGGCCAGAAACTGGCTGAGCACGGGGTTGCAAAATGCGCAAAAGGAGTACCAATCTAAATTGATGATACATTTTTAGCATAAGAAAATTTTAACTGTTTAACCTTTAGATCATCCAATTTGACTTTGTTACGGATATAATCCATAATATCTGGTGATGAGAGGTCAGGGGGCAGCCGTGAAATAAATATGTATTTTAAAATGTTTTGGATTTGGTAATGCAGAACTATTATTTGAACTACCAATTTCGGCCGGTAGTCCAGACGATAAGTTAACATTAGGTGTTAAGGCTACTATTTTAATTTGTTCGGACAGATCGTACAAAGCAGATGTCCCGGGCGGCACCACATCGCGACCCGCACATTCGAGTGCTGAATCTATTTTATCCCCCGATCTTAGTTCCATTGTAGTGGCACCTAAGATCGGCTGCTGTGGTGCGGGTTGCGAATCGCGGGGAGCGGGTTCCACGGCGTTAGCCAAAGAATGCACACCGACAGTTTTTTTTTTGCGCTTGGGAGAATCTTGCTCGGATAGCAAAGGGCTATAGAGCTGCGATTTGAGCGCCACGGATACGGATAACTTTTAACAGCTTTTTGTGAGCCGCCCAGTTTCAACTGTATGCTTATCAATTTTGATGCAATCGTCAAAATAGTAGCGTAAGACACATTTATTTTTAATAGCATCGCAAACCATGATAGAATAGACATGAATGGCAAGAAATTGAATAATTTGCCACAGAACAGATTGCCATATTCACGCTTAATCGGTGCAAATATAGCTGAACAAAATTTGAAGCTCCAGAACTTTGAAAGAGAGGGGGAGAATATCGAGGCAGGAGCGTAATACCGATTAACTCCGATATTAGGCACCACGAAACGAGATAGTTAGAGAGAACGGAGGAGAGCGGGAGCCTAAAACCTATTAACTCCCATACATGCACCAACAATTGAGAGTCAGAGAGAGTAACAACGTTTATATTTTGCCGTTCCAAACAACTCTACAACGATGTTTAACTTCTCAGAGAGAATTTCAGAGAGGTAGAAAAGAGTATCACCGTTAGAGCGCTTGCCGTTTCAACAGCGTCCAAGGACTGAGAGCAACAGAAAAGAAAATTTAAAAGTTAGGCAAAAGAATTACAAGAACAAACCAATCACCAAATTAAATGTCCAAATTGATAGAATTTATTTAACAAAAATTAATCACAAAACACATGCGAAGCGAACGGAATGTTGTTAATAACACTTAAGTGCGTTCTGTTATTTAAAAAGTTCAAATTTAAACCAGTGGTTTACGATAAAAAGGGAAACTTCGGAGCGCAAAACAAAAACGACCGTTCACTGTGAAGAGCGCAAACTAATCGATGATCATATCGAATTGACCTCTCGGTCGGTTCTGCTCAAAAGACGTTCTTTTGCCGTAACGATTCGGGTAGTCACCTTTTTTGCTTCCACCTTCGAAATAGACCAGTCTTACGTATGGACATCAGGACTGTGAGCTTTAAAAAGCACTAGCAGCAAAGGGTTGCTCTTGTGGCAACCTGATTCGTCGATGAACTTCTTACCTTGTCTTATGAAGAAGGTCAGTCTTGCTCGTCCTTGAGCGTCATTTGCCCTCTTTGGTGCGCTTTCACTGAATACAGTAAACATACGCCAATTCCCGTTTTGCTCAATGCATATTCAAAGCGGTGTTTTTTCTCTGAACAACGCACATAAGATTATACATTTGTTCATTTTGTACCTATGAGCGAAGTTAAAACAGGTGAAAAACGTTATTTACGCCTTAAAAATAGTACCATACAATAAATGTTGAGTGTCATATTCAACTATTTAAAAAAAAACATTTAAATTGTATATTTGCCTCATGTCCGATATATTTATTAATTTCTATTTGACAGGGGAAGCTATAAAACGTGCTGAGGATGAACATGTTCGAATAGTTCAATCCATAATGGAAAAATGTATGAAAAAGGAGTCTTTGTTAAATGAACTTTATCTTCAATTGATTAAACAGACAACGGATCATCCGGATGCAAACTCAAGAGTAAATTTAAAAAATTGGGCACTTTTATCGGTTTTATGCAGTGTTATCTTGCCATCGATGAAGTCTATTAGAAAATACCTGATTGCTCATTTAAAAAGATGCTCGAGTGATTTCTTGTCCGAAGAGGGCAAATACGCAAGATTTGCAGATCAAGTAAGTACATAAGGCGGCTTTTAATAACATGTTTTTATTTACACCTAAATAAATACCATTATTGTAAAACAGTATTAAATTCACGTGTGGCTTATTGTTATTAATGAGTTACAGTTATTAATAGAATTCGTATTACTTAAGTTATTTTAGTACTATATCTAAATTTTGAAATCAGGTGTGTTAATTGATTTTATACTTCCGCAATGATTTTCCGTTAGATTTATTTACGGTTAGTAGAACAAATACCTTTTCGTTCATTTGATTTAAGGATATGATGTGAAATCGTGAAAATCGTTTTAGTGATTTTAAAGTCTCTCAAAGTATCTCCAAAGCTATTACTCTTATCAACTTGAAAATTGGCTAACTGTTCTAAAGACGATATATTATTAAATAAGACAATGCTGAAAACGTTGGCATAAATAAATGAACAGTTAAAAACTACTCTAGTGAACGGCCGAGACAAGAGAAAAACTCCATATCAAGCTGTCAATAAAAATACCAAAGCATCGCAAATAAAAAGTAAGTTGTCATTTCCGAAATCGACCCGTCGAGTATAGCACCTTTAAATAATTCTGGAAATTTTTAAGCTACGGCACAGACACAAAAAAATATTGTTTGAATTTTGCTAATAAATACAAAAATCAAGACTTGAAGCGGAAATTTTTCCATTTAAATTCTTATCGAATCAAAAAAAAATGTAAAGACGATGGCCCAGAGTTATAAATTTACTTCTCGCGATATACGGAATCCAAAAAAAATTTACGTATCTATAAACTTCCATGGATCTTATGATATGGACTTCGGTTGGATAATACGGAAATTCTTTAATATGTTTTGTAAAACACAAAAGTAATGCTGAAATTTATATTGAGTTATTGGATACGGTTTTGGAGGGGATTATTTCGGAGAAATATGTACTTTCCGACAAGTTGGTGAATTATCCACAGGTCAAAGCTCACAAAGTCCTTTTTTACCGCGTCGGGTATATCACTTTTGAAATGACCAACAAAGAGCCCGAATCTTAACCCGGTAAAAACCTTTGCGGGCAATCTATGTTACCGACCTTATGCCAATGGAAGACAAAGTGGAGTTAAAGGAAGCCATTATTAAAGAATAGGAAAATTGGACCACCAAATGCTTTATAATCTTCCGAACTCCATGCCAAGACTAGAGGATTGTTAGTTTAAAAAAAATTAACGTCTTATATGCCAAAATTTGATTTAAAAATCCATAACTTTATTTCGTCGGAAAATAATTTCCTTGATTTTTATTTTGCTAACAATTAACAATTGTTGCGGGAGAGGGGTATGAAGGCGGAAAAAGGTTTGGGTCCCAGTTTGTGAAATTCCTTAGTTCGCCAATATGATCACCAGCAACAAAAGAGTAAAAGTAAGCGACTTGCAGAAACATCTATCGGACACTGGGGCACAAGCAAATAAAGAGAAACCCCAAAATGCCACTTAGCCAAATTCACTTGAGCCAGAAAATAGGGCACTTATGTCAACTATTCCGATGACCCGGTAGCGAAGTCAGCTGTAAAATAAGCCCACTTCATGGCAAAAGGCAGTCACAGTCTACGACGAGTCTTCTGGTACCTCCGTCAACACGGTGAACAACGTGCAACAAACGTAGACCACAAATAGGAAATTTATGGAGTCTTCAATCGCAGGAGTCCTGGTCATTGTGCTGCTTCCAAAAAAACTCAAGACGACGAACACGAAAAGAGCCCTTATTTAAAGTGACTCTGTGCACCTAAGTTTTACTAAAAAAACAACGTTGCCAGTTCACCGTGCTATAAACCATGTACGTATAAACATCAACAGTAAAGCTATTTTTTTGACGAGCTCAACACAATTGAATTTATCTGCATAAGGTTATCGTGCCCTGGTAGCTTTATCTGTTAAACAAGCGCGTACATTCTGCCATCGGCTGAGCTTTCAGATTATTTAGTAGCAGATTTATAACTTCGTTTGCATGAAGCGTAAATCTTATACTTATCCTTCCACGCTATCTTTTGCAAAAACACGATAGCAACAGATCAGACAATAGCCGATTTATTCGACCGGTTTTTCGATTCTTGGTACTGTCTTTATTATAGTTATTTATTATTTAACGTTAAAGATATTCATTCCTCAACTGGCTACTTTCATAAGTGAAGATGAGACTTCCGTGCATTGATTGACATTAGTAAGAAAACTGTTACTTTATTATACCCTTGCAGAGGGTATTATAATTTCATTCAGAAGTTTGCAACGCAGTGAAGGAGACATTTCCAACCCTATATATATATATTCTTGATCAGCATAACTTGGAGAGTCGATCTAGCCATGTCCGTCTGTCCGTTCGTCTGTCCGTCCGTCTGTCTGTCCGTTTCTACGCAAACTAGTCTCTCAGTTTTAAATCAGTTTTTTTTTATGTTTAAGGTAGTACTTAAGTCGGAACGAGCCGGATCGAGCATATAGCTCCCATAGGAACAACCAGACAAATAAATGAAAAAAAAGTATAAGTTTGCTATTTTTTAATTATTTTTAGTTCTTCGACATGTGGTCAAATATTTCATAAATATAGCAAAATCATGGGAACAATACATATAAATATTTATTTTTTTTTACATATAAAACATTTATTTTTTCAATGTACCTTTTTTGTTTTGAAACTTTTATTTGTAATTCTTTTTGACTTATTAATAACTTGACGGTTCAGAATTACGCATTTAAAATTAAAATCAGAAAATTATATCATATAGCTGCCATAGGAACTATCAAATAATTGAGCTGCAAATGATCATAGCTTCAATATTTTCAAACATATACGCAAGTAAATTGAATTTTAATGTTTTCAAGAATATTTTATTTTGCAAGGGTATTTGAACTTCGTCTTGACGATGCTTGCTTAGTTTCTTTTTTTTTGAAATTACACCCGTTTATTGGTTTTAATATTAGCCTGGAATCCGTTTGGATTCTTTTTAACAGGCTGTTAAGAACTAATTGATACTATCCTAAAAATTATCCAAGAAGGCTAGGCAGAAAACCAAGCTGATTTGACGGCAGCGCTGCATAACTCGGCCGCCTTGATCAGCGGGACTAGCGTGGGACCGTTGACTTAGCGCCTCGTGCCGGGTGCACTACCCAATCACTCAGCGTCTCGAGTTTTGCATTTCATTCTTGCAGACTGCTGATTTTAGAGAATTGCATCCGGTCTGCAGCACCTTTTGGTTCCATTCTTTCTTATGTATTTATATTACAACAAGAAAGAAAGCAAACTTCGGCAAGCCGAAGTTCATATACCCTTGCAGCTATCGCAAGAATTAAATATTTTTGAAAACATTAAAATTATGATTTACTTGCGTATATGTTTAAAAACATTGAAGCTATGACGATTTGCAGCTTAATTATTTGATTGTTCTTTTATATATTTTTATTATTTGTATGGGAGCTATATGATATAGTCGTCCGATTTTGATGAAACTTAAACCATAATTCTGAAATATTTAACCATTGCTTTATGTCGAAGAACAAAACAAAAAATTAAAAAACATCAAAGTTATAATTTTTTTCAATTATTTTTCCGATTGTTCCTATGGGAGCTATATGCTATAGTCGTCCGATTTTGATGAAATTTTAACCATAATTCTGAAATATTTAACCATTGCTTTATGTCGAAGAACAAAACAAAAAATTAAAAAACAGCAAAGTTATAATTTTTTTTCAATTATTTTTCCGATTGTTCCTATGGGAGCTATATGCTATAGTCGTCCGATTTTGATTAAATTTAAACCATAATTCTGAATTATTTAACCATTGCTATATGTCGAATAACTAAACAAAAAATTAAAAAACAGCAAAGTTATAATTTTTTTTCAATTATTTTTCCGATTGTTCCTATGGGAGCTATATGCTATAGTCGTCCGATCCGGCTCGTTCCGACTTATATACTACCTGCAATAGAAAGACAGCTTTTGGGAAAGTTTCATGCAGATAGCTTTAAAACTGAGAGACTAGTTTGCATATAAACGGACGGACAGACGGACAGACGGACAGACGGACAGACGGACGGACAGACGGACGGACAGACGGACATGGCTAGATCGACTCGCCTAGTGATGCTGATCAAGAATATATATACTTTATAGGGTCGGAGATGTCTCCTTTACTGCGTTGCAAACTTCTGACTGAAATTATAATACCCTCTGCAAGGGTATAAAAATAATCCGTTTTACTTTAAAAATACTGTTGAGTCAAGTAGCCGCATGATTTTGAGTCTATAGAACTTTTTCCTGTAAACGTAACGATACCCACACATTTTAGCAACAACTGTGACGTATTCCTCATAAATGACCCAAACAAGATTTTACTTTGTGACCAGGTCTCAGAACCAGCTTTTTCAAAAAAACTCAGTATTTTTAATATAGGGGCTTTAATAGACTATAGAGCTTTGGAACTAGAATTTAATGTATGTGACTGGTCTCTCAGTATTTAAAGAAGGAATGCAAATAAAGAAAGTCGAATGGTCTCTGCTGTCTTTACACGTCGCGGTCTTGTGCATGTTCGTTGCACTGGTAAAGAAGGCGTTCACTGATTCGAGAGGATAGAAGAGCTCTCTTTGCTGTACCCCAATCCCCTCACCACCTCTGCTGCAAATGCTCACGTTTCGGCGGGTAGAGAGACCACCTCATCTGCAGAGGATAGCATTCGCTCTTAATTACTTTAATTTCACGCTCATAGAATCTCTAGTTAAGATATCTTTATTATTATGTTATATTAAATACCTTTTTCTGTTATTTGAAAACATTTTTAAAAATCGAAAAATTAAGCATGCCCGCCAAACAGGCCTTGAATAACAAAATGACGGGTAAAATAAATGATTCCATAGCTGGTAGCATGATAAAAGTAATCAGCAAATTTCAAAAATGGTTTAATAGTTGCTTATATCAATGCACAAAGCTTATTTAGAAAAATTGATGAGTGTAGGTCAATTTATATTCAGTCTAATGTGGATGT